CTTTTGTATTCCTTTATCTGCTCCAAGATGCTCGATTCCATACCTGGAAAACAGAGGGTGTTCAAGGTTTCCAAAGCTGCTGCATGCTTGAGTAGATACTTCACAAGTTCTACTCCGTTTCCAAAATGAACTTCGATGGTTGCCTTTTGCAGCTGAGGAACAAACTTAAGACCTTGAGCTTCCCAGTATTCCATATTGAACCCTTTCAACCCCTCCATGGATGGCCCAAAACTTTCCACGACTTCTTCCACCTTCAGAAAATTTTTTTAAAAAAAACATACACAAATTTAAACCTTTAGCGTCAAGAGGTTTGATACCAAGTGAGTATGAGGTGAAAGAGGGGAGGGAACACAGAGAGCTAGGAATACATCTTGGTAGAAACTATTTTCTCCACCAAATAAACCACAAATTTATGTAAGTGATGAATACATCTCAATGAATTCCATAGACATTTATCCAAGAAAATAAATGAATGAATGAATGAATGAATAAATAAATAAAATAAAATAAAGAGCTACAAATACAGAAACAGTGCTACAAGCATACCTGTTTTCTTGGAACACGTGATGTTATAGACAAAGACTTCAAATCAAGCATTCCTTGCAAAAAGAAAGCAATTGGAGGCACTAGTGTATCAGCTAAAGTGCAATATGCGATAGCGAGATTCTCTACTTTGCTTAATGGAGACGACAAGCAGTCATTCATATGGAAAATCTGTCATGAAGACAAAACATTAGAGAATGAGACATGAAAGGATTACTCAACAATTTGTAATCTTTGAGTGGTCTTTATAATATTAAATTTTTGCTCTTGCAACACAAATAAAAGTTCCACAGAGAGAGTTTCAAGTAAAATTATAAATGTCTTCAACTTGATCCCAAGAAAATGGAGAATGGACCCTTATTTGCAACAGTTCTTGAGTAACAATTTTACGTCTTAGGGCACATATACTACAAAACAAAACAAAAAAACCTGAGAGAGAGACGCTGCACATTCATTTATACAGAACTCATTACCAAGTCAAGGCAAGGAGTTACTTTTATATCACATAAATTCAACTTCTTTGAGGAAACATGCAGCTGGTTTTGTCTTTGACAATGATCTAGTTGAATATGTACCATCAATTACATTAATCAATTTGTATGTCCTTTTGTGTGTGTATGTGGAGCTCACATCACAATTTGAGCAAAAAACGATACAAATAAAATACTGAATTTGTAAAGCAGTACCAAAAAATCTGAGTTTTTATTAACGCACACATATCCGGATAGTGTTGGCGTGGAACGTCACAGTTTTGGTCATCTTTAACTGATCAATAACATCATCCAGTAAGCCCGTGGAAGCATCAGATAACTCCCATTGTAACCGTTTAGTAGGTAGCAAGAGATGGGTTTCAGCATTTTGTAGATGGACAGACCGGTCAGCAAAATAATATCCCAGAGGCAAACCATGCCACACAAACTCTTTGAGTTGAGATGAAACAATTCCAAATGCAGGTCTAGCATCAGAATAAGGATACCATTTAACAAACATGTTTGAAGAGAACAATAGATGAAAAGCTCCTCAAGCTCAACGACATTGTCATTAAAAATTCTTAAATGCTCAAGAGACTTGCTTCTAAGAATGAGCTTCTTTAACCCAGTGCAGCAATGAAGGCACAATGCCTTGAGCGAAGGGAGATGAAAAACCACCCAGGAAATTTCGCTATCCTTAAGTTTACTAAACAGCAAGGTTAGCTTTTCTAACTTGGGGAACGTTTCAAAACTTATCTCAAAAAAGCCAAGACTGCAATTGTTAGTACGCACAGTAAGCTCCTTCAAATTGTTAGTGATATCAAAGAACAAAGGATGAAGCCATTGAGGCTTAAGCTCTGGTGACATGAGACCCAGATGGAGAGACTCAGTGTCACAACAAGAGACGGTTTTCATGAAGTATTCATGAACTCGATAAAATAATTCTTTGTTATGGTCCACCTTCTTCTTCACTCTCTCCCTCTTCCGTTTTTTAGTTTTCCCTGTCTGTTCACAAATGTGCCATTGCCAAGTGAAGTTAAACTGACGAAACCTTTGTCCGAGTCTGGTGTCGAAGAGATAAGAAGTTTTCGACTAAAGACCTGTAGTGATCTAGAGAAGCCACATCGCAAGTATGTTTCTTGTTATCGAGCCACAAGACAGGGACGGACATGCAAAAATGCTTACATCTTTTGGAGACTAACATCAACTGAGAAAGGTCTACCACATCGAGAAAATCAAGAATGTGATGGGCTATCTTGTCCGGAAGACTGCTGAATCTGTCCACAAAAGGTTCAGTCTCACCCTCACCCAAAATTTCAGATTTTGCAGAAGATGACACCATTAAATTATCTGGCGAGCGCAATTCAGAATTCAAAGACTAGTCCTAAAATGCACAAAAGTAGATTAATACCTAATTAACAGTTTTAACTCTAAGTTTCTAAACTAAACCGAAGCCTCTAGCAAAAATGGAGGAATTCATTGAAAAAAAAAAAAGAAGAAAGAATATCCATGAATGAATAACCGCAATATATCACGAACAAATAGGTAAAATAAAATTTCGATTCAATCGACCATGCATGAGCATGAGGACGAAAATTGTCTGTAAAAACAACAGAAGTAATAGAAGAGGAAAGGTAATACCTCGACGGATGTGGCTCTTCCAGCGGAAACCAATCAGAACCCTGGCAGCTCTCTGGAGGGTGAGAAAACGCAGGGCTGAGAACTGGTAGTTTTTATTTTGCAGTTAGAAACTTTCAGTGTAGCGTAGAGAGTACGCCACAAAACTCCTCAAATTTTATATTTCCTTTTTTATTTTTATTTTCTAGCATCATCCAACCGGTTTTAGTGTGTTGAATAAATAAAATAAAACACATTAAAAAAAGTGATATTAAATACTTGAATTAAATGGATTTTTAACTAAAATTTTTTAAATCTATGTTAAAAATATATTTTTGTAAGTGTATATAAAAAAATAAAATTAATATTAATATTAATATTAAGTAAATAAATTTAATTAAATAATTTAATAA